TATATATATATATATATATATATATATACCCATTATAAGAATCATAAGAATGAAGATAGAAATAAGTTTATATTTAGAAAATGACACCGAGTCCAACTCCTTATTCCCGGGACTCTAATATTTTTCTCTTTAAGGCCTTTTTCTAATTTTAAATCAGAGAATTTACTTAGATCTTTCGGTACCGACACAATTGTATACATGATGTAATAGAACCAAATAGGACAGCCAGGGAAATTTTCAAAACAAAGTTTAAGAATTAATTGAAATAAAATTAAAGTTTAAGGAGTATATGTAAACTATAAAATGAGTAAAGTTTAAGGGTTAAATGCTCTTTTTCCTTTTTAAACATAAACAAGAGCTTTATATTTTTTATATAAAAAAGAATAGAATCAAATCAAACCATTTCCAAACCCTTTTAAATAAAAACTTACTCAACCTACCACACAAAGTTCAAATAGTTTGCTTTTAACCATAAAATGTTTGTTTTATTAAGTTTCAAGACATGGTCAGAAATAAAAGATTTTAAAATAATTTCTTGAATGAATCTATTTATAGATATTTGTCTCATTCAATTAATACATATCTTGGGAGGAAATTCTTTTATAAGAATAAGAACAATAATTTTAAATGGAATAATCATACAAAAATAATCAAAATTTAATGTTGCAATGTAAACATAAAAAAGAAACATAAGATGAGGTGTTGAATTTTGTTTAAGATAATTTTTCAAAATCTCTTTCAAAGAGTATTGTACCAATAGGGACCGGACGTCAGATAGGCCGGACGTCCACAGTAGACCAAACACACTACTCTTCGGATCGTCATCGAGGGTTCGACGCACCAAGCTGGACGTCCGTGCGTCCGCAATCACACAACCTTGCCCCTCGTCAGTCGGATACATGATGAGGCCGACCGGTCATGCCGCCTGCTAATCATGCTGCCTATAGGGATTAGCTGGTTGAAAAGCCAAACTTTGGGAGACCGGCCGACCATGCTGCTAATTAACCAGGTTTAAGATAAGTTGAGGTTAAAAGCTATTGGACTGAATTTAGGCCGTAATTAACTTTTCGCTAATCCCAAGCCCATAGTGAAAACTATAAATAAAGATCCAGGGTGAGTGGTAGATAGTTGCATTTACTACACATTTATTACTATTCGACGTCATTGTTCTCAACTGACTTTGGCATCGGAGAATCTTTCGTAGGTCTCCCACCCACGCATTGAGAAGGAAATTGAGGAGCGAGTACGGAGGACCGGACGCACGGAGTACGAGTATAAGAAGACGTGGAGACATTGGACGACACATCCCTTCACATCCGAAACAAGTATATATTGTGTTGAATAATGGTTAGATCCAAGGAGCAGGTGAATTGAATCACAAAAGTCAATTTAAGAAAATCCTTTGAAGGGCAACACTGACTGTAAAAATGAAATGATCACAATATGGAAGTATATATTCTAGAAAGACTTCATCTAACCATGTCAAGCTTTGAATCCTACAATCATATATTCCAGTGAGACTTTAATCACAATGTTTCACCTAAAGATTACCTTTGTTTGGAGTTTTGGCAGTGAGAATTCCGGTCAAAGAGCCCTTTTTAGTGGTTTCTCTTGAAAGCTATATTTGGTCTTCTGCTATGTTTAAATTGGAACATTTCCTATTTAATTGATTCACTTTTCTTTATCCTAAGTCTGTCTTGTCCATACATAAACAAGCAATTTGATTCCAAGTCTATAAATTAGGCTTTAGAGTACTAGGATTATGAGCATAATGCAAACCTATTAACACGAATTTAACTACCTGAGCTACTCTTCAATTTTCATTATGATGTAATAAAATTAGATAAAAAATAATGGTGCAATTATAACATTAAGTTCTTGTTTTCATCAGCCTCTGGCGTTCGATCAAAGAAAAATGGAAGGAAAAGTTTCAACATGCAAGGCGTAATCGACATTTAGGTATTAGGTGTATATAATTACGTTTACCTTTCCAATATTGATTGAATGATTAATTAATGTGGACTTTTATCATGGAACCAAAGAGTACTGTTTGGGAGACATAATTGATCACAAAACAGGGGCCAAATCGGAGTATGACTAAGGACAATAGAAGATAAAGCAAGAAATAACCTTCGGTGTGAAGGCGGAGATGCTTCGGACGCTGGTACAACAATGACTTCAAGAGCGACGGCGGCCCTAAGAGTTCCGGTGAGACGGTTGCGCTGGTCCACAGCCTCACGACGGTGCGCTTGATGCTAGGGACTAGTAGGGAGCGATTCAGTGTGACGTGTGATGCGTTAAGGGTTTAAGAAGGCGAAACGCGGCAAAAGAACGATAAAAGAAGAGATATTTTTAGCATTACTTAAATTAATAAATAATTAAAATTTAATTATATTTCGTGCTATTTAAATAGGTAAATATTTGAGAACGAGGTTAACAAAACCGTGTTATTTGCATGCCTTTTAACAATTTGAATAATCTCAATTAAAAAAGTTACTTTAAAGAAAATATGAAAAAGGGAAAAAATATCTCTTTTCCTAAATATAAAAAAATAAGTGTATATAATAAAGTAGTTTTCTTAATTAAATGAATTGCTTAAAGAAGGAAAAAGACGTCTCTACTACCTTGATGGAACTGGTTTTTGAAGAAAGAAGATTCCAAGAAACAAAATGCAAAAAATAAAGTTGTGTGTGGTTGGAGGGGCCTAGTTTGTGAATGTTTCCCCAATCGCTTCACCATTCCATGACTCTCCATATAAACCCCATCATAGTTCCCCACTATCATCAACAGAATCTCCCTTTACATCACTTCTCAACTCAACACCAAATTTCCAACTCCCATCAACACACAGATAAAACTCTTGCTTCTCCCTCTCACCATGCTCTCTGTCTCTTTCAAAACATAGAAGAATGCACCACCCTTCGTCCTACAATTTTGATTCCTCTGTCTTTTATGGATATGATGCTCACTCCCCACTCTCACAATTCCCACGTCACATTCTTCACCACCACCTCCACCTTTCACCCTTCATTTTGATCAACATAAAGACCCTCATCCCTCTGCTCCTTCTATTCGCTATATTTGACTATGACCCTTTAGTTTAAATTCTATCAACAATCTACACCTAACAGTCTTGCAAGTTCTACCTATATATACTATTAACTCACCAAAAAGTTTCCATAAAGAAGGCCATGGCTGGTGAGAAGCTGAATGGGGGTTCAAGAATGACGCTTCTACTCCAAAAAGAAAGGCTTCCATGCTCCCCTGAGCATATCCAAACCTTTTGGGTTCAAAACTCTCAACCTTCTTTCCAAGGTGATTTGCTATGACCATGTTGTTGGTTTCTTGATTATTGTCTCTGGCATGTGCCTTCATGAGCTCCTTGGAGTTGCTGATTTCTTTTGCTCATCAAAACTTCTAAACTTTTAGAAAGTATTTTTCTTAACAAAATCAGAATTGGGTTTCTTGTAGATACTGGTTTTCTTCTGATATAGAATCTTTCCCATATGAAACCAAGTTAAAAAAGATTTTTTTTTTTCACTGAAAACCGTTTATGTTTGAACTCTTTAGCTTGGTTATTATCCTTTCTGATGTTTGAATTCAGGCTCAAAATCCTTGGTTAATGTTGTGAATGTGAGGGATAGACCCTTCTTCCGAGGGGTTGAGAGAGAAGAAAACGATGATGATGAGGATTTTGAGGTATTCCCACATCAACCCGGTAAGAAAAGGAGGCTCACAAGCGAACAAGTTCAGTTCCTTGAAAGTAACTTCGAGATGGAAAACAAGCTTGAACCCGAAAGGAAAGTCCAACTTGCAAAGGAACTTGGCATGCAACCAAGGCAAGTGGCCATATGGTTCCAAAACCGTAGGGCAAGGTTCAAGACCAAACAGCTAGAAAATGACTATGGCATGCTGAAAGCTCGCTTTGACATTCTCAAAAGGGACTATGACAATCTCGTTCAAGAGAATGCCAAACTCAAGGAAGAGGTAACAATGGTTAGACATAAATAAAGTCATCCAGTTAACTTCTTTTTTGTGGTCTACCAATCAAAACTAGTGAATCTCAACAACTTGTGGTTTAGAAAAGATTCCACATAGTGTTTTCAACAATAATAACAAACACTCACTCAAAAAATCTTCTTCTGCTCTTTCTTTCCTCTGTATGAATTTAGTTCTTCAGTAGATTATCAGTTTAGTTTTTCCTTGTTACAGGTTTATTCTCTGAAGAAGGTGATTCCCAGAGAGAAAGAGAAACAGAATTTGGATGATACCAGCTGTGATGCTGTCAACTCAGGACATAAAGAGCAGAAGGATTTGATCATAAATGGAGGTTCTGAAAATGAATCCAAAGTGGCACTTCCTGTTATGGTAATAAGCAAACAGAAAGATGCTAATTCAGCTAAAAGTGACGTGCTTGATTCGGAGAGCCCACATTTCACTGATGGAAACCAATCCTCAATATTTGAGCCTGCAGATTCCTCTCATGCTCTGGAACCAGACCACTCGGATTTCTCACAGGATGAGGAAGACATCCTCAGCCAAAACATGCCACTCCTACCAAAGTTTGAAGTTGAATATGTCTGCTATGATGAACCACCTGAAAATCCTTTCACGTTCCGGTTCCCAGTTGAAGATCAAACCTTCTGTTTTTGGTCTTGTTAAGCCCTCACTGCTACTACTACTACTACTAGGAGAATCTTAAGGTTTGCTACTTGTAACTCCCTACCAAAATCAACGAAATTGGTATTGTTTTTCTACTTTGGAATGAAAGTTTATGTGTGCACACCACACCACCTTTATTACTGTCTTTTGAATTCTTCAAAACCGTAACCATTGCATTATTCTCAGTATTTACGATTACATTAGTAACATTTACTTAATCTTTACCTGTTTTCTTCCATGAATATGATTCGCAAGTAATTTCAAAACTCAGCAGAACCAATGACTAATATATATTGATGTGAAACTTGTTCTCTCAAACAATATTTTAACACTACTATACGTGTTAAAGATAGTAAAAAAAACACCAATTCCTAGGTCTATCTAACAGCTTAAACCTTTTTACCATCCGCACCAAACTCTAGTAGACGGTCATAGATTCACATCTTACTGTTACTCTTGGTAGATTTTTTGGGCTAAGTTTTTCTGAACCAAAATTTCAAAATGAAACCTTTTTTCTTCTGATGAGACAGGAGTGGACCAATAAAGTGTTACAACGGCATACCCATTTGATATTGTTTACAAAATCAATGAATATGGTCACATTGAAACTGTTGACATCAACTGCAAGTCTTGGAGCCTGCTCGTGTGGAGTGAAGTGAGACACTTGAAGGTTGTAAAAGTTGTTACAAAAATCAATGGATTAATAATGCTTGTTCCTTAAGAAATCACACCCTTGGGAGAAGTGTAATTAAATTAATTGTCAGGAACAGTATGTGAAAAACCGGACTTTTACATCAAATTGAGGAAAAAGTAGCAAACGCAAAACATGGTGAAATACTGAATCTGCTGTGCAAGTCAAGGTTCAGGTGTGGTTCACTGAAACAAGTTTGATTGGTGTGGGAACATTTTCCCAACTAGCTCATTCAGGATGTTAATTGAAATATTGGTATAATTTATTCGATCTTACAATGGTTTCAGTTAAATAATTAAAAGATATATTTAAAATCGTATCAAAGCATTAAATGGTTTAAGAAAAATATATTCCAACGCGTTCTACTAAAAACCTCACCTATGATTCCTTAACAGTGTCCTAAGAGTTCTGATTACCATTGAAAATTCATCATACCTTGATAGCAAAAAACAATTTTATGTTGTTATTGAATTATAAACTTGTGGTCACTTTTATTCAACTACCAAAGTCATACAGACAATATCTTGTTTTAATCAAAACTTGTCCATTAAATTTCACTTAAAATTTTAAAAACTAAATTCATTAAAAACTTCAAATTATTTAAATGAAAAAAAATTATAATATAAGGATTTGAATTCAAAAATGAATAATGAGACCGAACTTCCTTAACTTTTAAAAAATTATAAATTGGTTACTTTTAAATGAGAACTTGTACTTTTGAAATTGGAACCCATGCAACGTACGGGTACTGCTCAATTATTAGCATAAAGGTTTATTATTCGGAAGTATGACTTTTGTGCGTCTTTATAGGTATCATCAGTTTTCCACTATTGATGATCTTCCATTGCTACTGCTGATTAATACGAAGTTCTTCGACCCAATAAGCTTATTGCAAATGTAGATCATGATTTCCTTTTTATCAGTAGGAATATATTCTTCATCGTTTGAAACCATGATTTATTTCTTCACGAAATCTTGTCCATGACCATGGTTCGCCCATGACAAAGTTCAAGTAAAAGTTCTCACCCTTTAAAATATTATCTGCTTTCATATTTTATTCAGTGGAAATAACTTTTAGGATGTTGTGTGTTTGACATAATTCACGTGAAAAAAGGTATTCTATATTCATGATAATAAGATGTGTAATAGATGTGTGTTTTCAATCTAATAATGAAAATGATTTTCTTTTTTTTTATATATTTAATAGTTCTAGACATTCTAAGAATATGAAGGGGGACAAAAACTAAAGAAATAACAGTAAATATTGAGTTAATTTGTTGGGTTTTTTTTTAAAAAGATTAGATGGGTATACTCTAGAAATTGAAAGAAAGTAGGCATGAATGTCTTGCTCTTGCGTGTATGTTGGAAGATATCATAATACTTTGGGATTCTTATTGAGCTAAGGTGAAAAGCAGGTTTGTGATCCGAAAAGAAAGAACACTTGTAATTTAACTTTTAAACATCTGTTTTTACTTTGATCTAACTAAAGTGAAGTTCAAGGTTGATGAGCACCAGCCAGTTCTTAGTTTATTTAATTATTGGATTATAAATGGATACGGTCAAAGGGATAGAAAGTAAAACTGGTGGAAATGAATTAGTAAAGAATGCAAAAGGTAGCTTAAGATGTTGATATTGGGAAGGTAGATATACATTAACATAGAATATACTAGATGTAAATTTGTTGAAGGACCCACTGGCAACACGGAGCCTAATCATAAAGTTAAATGTTTTGGCATTTGGTGGATACGTGTGATTCTGTGTTACATTTGGTTTACATTTTGATTCATCTCCTACAAACAACCAAATGTGGTTTATAGGTAAATAAACCTTAGAAAAAACCAACTATTAATTTTTGTAGAATGTAGTTTTAAATAGAGATAGCAACGTGCCTCATTTGGTTTGTAAAAAACTAAGTTGGATTGGTCTATGTCTTTTGTATAAGAATTGTGAATTAATTTTTGACACATCTAAATATTTTATATTATTTGACAATTCTTTACTTTCTTTTTACTTTTTCTTTCTTGAAATAATAAAAAAGTTTACACTTTTTTTACCATTTTACCTTTATAGTCTATGTCAAATGAATGTAAAGTGTGTCATGATATCAATACTCTATTTGTTATTAAATATTTGTTTAATTGTTTTTTAATTGTTGATCCTATACCTTTTTTCTTTCTAACCAATTTTTTGTGAAATTGTCTGGTAGTGTTGGATTAATGACTTGGTTTGCCTAATAATTTTTATGTACATATCATTTTGTAATGTATTTGACTTTTATTTCCAAACTTATTTCTTACAATTTTATGGTACTCTTTTGTGGTACTTAAATTCACCTTGAAGGTATAGCTAAGAAGAAGTAAGGTCTCTTTTGTCTTTTGAATTCTACTAAGAATGACTTGACTTGAGTGCATTTACTTAATACTGGTCCTTTTTTTCAATCAATGTTTTTCCATATTAATAACACTTTGCATGATATATTGTACAATAATATTGTTATTAATAATATTTTGAATGATTCCATGTTGTGGCATTTAAAGTTTGGTCATGTCTCTAACAAAGTAATAAAGCAAATATTTTTCTCATTATTATAAAATTTCCTTTTCATAAATTTGAAGTTTGTGATGTTGTTATTACTCTAAACAAAAGATTTTGTCTTTTCCAAATAGTCATATTGCATCTTCTAGATTTTTTGAACTAATGCATATGTTCATTTTTGAGGTCTTTAAGTATCAATTATTTTCAAGGTCATAATTTTTGTTAACCATCATTGTTAATTACAACCATTTCATTTGGACTCATTTATTAAAAATTAAATCTGAAGTAAAAGTCACACTTTCCTATTTTATTACTCTCATTGAAGAATAATTTGATGTTTATTTGAAACAACTGAAGTAAAAGATTTTTTTTTTTTCAAAATAAAAGTATTTTACAAGAAATTTTATGTGTTACAACAAAATTGAATTATTGAACATAAGCATTAACACAATCTCCATGTACATCATGCTTACTTTTTCGAGCAAAACTTTCACAAATTTTGGTTCTTCATTGTTGAATACACTATTCACATTATTAATAATCGGTTTTCAACTCGTTTGTTACTTTAAAAAGTACTATTAGATATGATTTATAATTGTATTCCTTGTCAGAACCCTTAAAACCCCAACTTAGTAGAGTACATGTGTAAGCGAAAGGGGTGTGTGAAATTCAGAAAGTGGAAGATAGGTGTGTGATGTAGATTGGACGAACGATTTTGACGGTAGGAATAAAACTTAAACTTTCAAATTTTCGTGTCACTTCTCTGCATGCACCATTCATCTTCAACCTTTTGAATCTCCTTCTGAATCTCCTCCTTCTCTCTACCATCTCCACCTTCTCTCTAGAAAATCTCATCTTTTTCTTTGATCACCTCTCAAGCATCGTTTGAAACTCTCCGGCATCAAGGGCTTTCATTTAAACCGATCGAGTTGTGGTTCTAAGCCGGTGAGTTACTTTCTCCTTAGCACGTTCATTTCTTTTCGCACGCAAACCCAGATTTCTATTTGCCTGAGCGGATCATATTATTATGAGTATTTCTGGTCTTCTATTTGGTTCAGTTTCTTAAAGCGTGACTATCGAACGTTAAGGTCTTTGGTAGTGGTGAGCTATATTCTGCATCCGTGAGTGTTCGGTTACGTTTAGAGGTAAGGGAAGCTTATATAATTTGATTAAGATTCTTATTTTGAATGGTTGTATGTTTGTATGATACTTTGTTTGATTATCTATGAGTATGAAATATGCGTGTTACTGCATGTTTGAATGTGAGGATGGATGACTGATAAATGGTGTGAACTGAGTTGAAATAGGGTTTGATCTTCAAACTCAGTGTTCTGAGTAAATTCTGTAATTGTGGTCGAGCGTCATTCGTGATCGTCGATTCTTCATGGAAGGGTAGGGTCTTAACTGAATTCTTATGCTTTAGGGATATTGTCTGAGAGTCACTCTGTAATACTCTGAGAATTTTGTAAACTTAACCGAGAGTCAGTATTGACCGTTCGGTTTTCCTTGAGTGTCCGTCTAAACTAAATTCTTCTGTAGAGAATTTAGTAATGACGATCGATTTATATTATAAATATATGCAAATGAGTGTTCGGTCTCCGTAGTGCTTCTGCTGTACTAAGCGCTCGTCTCTTTGTAGTGTTTGGTCTTAGATCAACACTCGTTCAATATGGTGCTCGGTTTTGTATTAGTATTTTATGTTAGTAATAGCAATCGGTATTATTGAGTTGTGTGGTCTCTTATGAGCATCGTTCTTATACTTGTGCTCAATATCTTACTGTACTAAGTTGGTAGTGTTCAGGTCTTTAGACTAGCACTCGGTCTCTTTAATGTTAGTCTGATACTAAAAGCTAAGTATAAGTAGCGTTCGGTTTCTACAGGGCTCGATCTTAAACCAAGCGCTCGGTCTCATTTCAGAAATCTATTATTACCGTTTTTAAAATAAGAGTCTTTGGCCAAACTCAATAGCGTTCGTTTCTTCATAGTATCTCATCATTTATTAGTATTTAGTGTCAAACAGTATTGGTCTTTAAAAGGTGTTCGACCTAGAGTCTTAGTACTCGGCTAGTTCGTGGCGCCGGTTTAAACTCTAAGGGTTGTTCATTGAAGCGGATAAATTCGTAAATAGCGTCGGTCATGATTAGTTTTCTAAAAGGTTATTCCATTCGGACTTGTGCTATGATGAGAAAGTGTGATCTTATTTCAGTTGAATATATTGATGATGAAGTATAAGGAAATTTGAAATTGTGATGCGAATGAAATAGTTTGGTTATGAAAGAGATTCAGGGAGGAAATCTCAAAAAGTGGTTATTGAATGGTAAAGTATGAATGTGGGTAAAGCTTAGCGGGCGTTTATCCTGATATTCCTTGATTACTCATTCTCACGTAGAGAGGAGTAAGTCATGTGTGAGAATGACAGGAAGTCCTAGTCCATAAAGTTAACTTGGACGAAACGGATTAACCTCGGGTGACAACTGTTGAGGGTATCCCAGTTACTACATCACCTGGGTGCACAACGTCGTAGCTACACATGATTCATACAGTCCGGACAGCAGAGTAAAGTGATCGGTCTTTGCATGCCATGATATATGAATTATGATTTGGTTGTTGTTTGATTTAATCAAGAAAATTGTATGTTTTATTGAATAAATTAAATTACATAAGCTTACCCTATTTATTATCTTGTCTGTGTTGTACGTTCGGTTGTTGGTCATGTTGCAATGATCATCCGTGTGGATGTGAGCAGAAGGAGAAGAGTTGCTGGAAGAAGCACGGGAAGAGGTTGAAGTGAAGGTCGAACCTTAGGAACGTTCGGTTAGTTGTTGGCCTCTTCTTTTGTAGAACCGTTCGTTATAAGTTTATTTTGTAAACCGTTCGGTCTAGTTATAGCCATTGTACATTTTTAAATTCTGTAGGATTTTTTAAGGCCGTTCGGTCATAACTGTGCTTCCGATCTTTTGTAAGACTGATCTGTCATATTATTAATATGTGATTATTCTCGTATATGGTTTATACTGTATTTTTGGGATGTTACATTCCTTACCTCACTAAACTCATAGATGTTTGTTGTTTGGCTTTTGCGACCATTTTGTCTTGAAAGAACTAAGTTTGATCGTCGTGCATTTAAATGCATTTCTTTTACAACAAAATTGGTACTAAAGGTCTTTTTCTTTTCAACTTACCAAGTAAATTATTTTTAATTTCTAGTGCTTTTACCAAAATTTGCCAAGTTGATCCAAAGTGGAAGGAACCAGCTACCAATGTATATTTGAGCCTCTCATCGCTAAAAAGGAAAAATCCACTGTAAGGACTCCAATTTGAATTTAGAATAAGTATTAAATTATATTACTATATGTGATAGAGGATATTTATAAGTTTTTGTAGATTTGCTAATGTCCGAAAAATAATAACAAATAAATAAATAAAACTTAAGATATAACAACATATTAATAAATATAATAACTGAATTTAGTTTATTAATCTTAAATTACGTTTATATTATCATAAATATTATTTTTTCTTGATTTTAGGATTATTAATATTTTTTTTCCAAATTTTACACTTGGATCTTATATACTTATTGAACCGTTATGGGCTAGACAATAATAACATATTTTTTTAACAAATATAATTTTATAAAAGAAATGTTTATTTTTGTTATAACTAATATTCCACACTTTAAGTTTATACATATTTTTTTTTTCAGTATAAGAGTTTTGTTTTGTACAAATATAGTTTTACAAAAGAAATGTTTATTTTTAAATGAGCTTTTAAGACTAAAAAGGAATTTTGAAGATAATTTCCTGATTTTTAAAAATGTTATTTTTAAATTAAATTTAGAAGTATTCTTTAAATAAAATATAAACTGGACTAAACAACATATATTCTTTATGTATACACAAGAACCACTAAAGTTAAGAATATGTAAACGTAAGAAAGCTATTAGGGGTAAAATGGGCCACAGTTCGGCAAGTTTTGAACCGTTCCGTGTCTGGACTGAACCCACAGACTTCTGTATCACAAATTTTTTAAGAAATTAAAAAGTTTTAACTTTTTACACTATAATAATACTAATTCAATTTGTCAAGTTTAATTAAACGAGTTAAAGTATATGATAACTTAGCCAAAATATAAAATTAAAATTTCCTATTACAACAATTGGTTTATTAAATAATAATACATGATTATTTTATTAAAAACAATTTCTTTTTTCTGAAAAAACTTTAAACAAGCATACCCTGAATAACCTTGTTGTCATGTCACTTTTAATTAAGTGGGTTTAACTCAATTATTTGTTTGAACTTTCTTTTTTAGAAGATATGTTCACTACACGTTTTAATTTAGTAGCTAAATAACTACAATAAATTGTTTATTTATTATTTTTCTTAAGTAGAAGCAAGAGTAGTTCCAATGTCTTTTATTAGACAGGTTTAATTCATTTATCAAGATTCAAAAATTAAATAATGTAATTATAAATAATAAATTTATATACTTTTATATAATCACCCTCACATTAATGAAACATATTTTAATTTTTGAAATTATTTGTATTAGTTCTAGTAGTTATGTTAATGTCTTTCATAATTAATCTATCCATCGCTTCAATTTTTGTTGACGAGAATATTAAAAATTAATTCTTGAATGATCCCTGTAGGATACAAGATTAGATTATAAAGAAAAGGCAAGAAAGACATTAATACATTTGATTTGTTACTCATTGAATTTAGAAAAAAATTAGTAATTAAGGATATTTTGACAGAAAATAATAATAACTAAATCTTAATAAAAGTAATTAGTCTAACTTTGAACTTGGTCAAAGTTCTACAGAAGGAATTATAAGAACTAAGGAAGGCATTTAATTAATGGTATAGTTAATACATTCAAACGTTAAAGCAATCCTAATCATAAAATGTAGTAAAAAAGCACTTCTTAGCAGATTTTTCATGTGATGACCAAAGCATCTGCATGACAGATCAGCACTTGTACCTTTTTTTTAGTTTCTTACTCTATAGGCAAGACCAAGAATTTTGTGTTATATAAGGTCCATAGTTTTGCAGATTTTCTACACAACAATTGCAAAAACTGATTAAGCTATTAACAATGGATAGATTGAGCTCACTGTTTTCATTTGCTAAACGAAAACGCAATTCAATGCCCTCTCTGCAACAGAAATTGCTAGATGAAGAAAGCCTTGCTCAATCAGAGCCAAACACACACTCTAGAAAGCCTGGATGGAAAGCCATGCCTTACATTCTAGGTCTGTCTTGTAACTTCTGCTACTTGAATTTCATCTTCTAAATTTAGTGAGTTTTTTGCACTAATTGATTCTTTCACTAGTGTTACTTTTAACTTGTCACATTTTATTAAGTTAAAGAGACCAAAATGGAAATGTGCTTGGGACTATAATTAGAATGAAATGTGCAGGAAATGACACAATTGAGAGGCTAGCAACATTTGGAATGCAGGCGAATTTTGTGGTGTATTTGATGAAAGTGTATAACATGGATCAGGTTCTTTCAGCAAACATTTTGAACACATGGATTGCTGTGTCCAATATTACTCCTCTGATCGGAGCCTTTTTTGCTGATGCCTACTTGGGAAAGTTTCGAACAATTGCCCTTGCATCCTTTGCCAGCCTTGTGGTACCTTTTATTTTCATTTGGATTGATTATAACTTCTATCTCAGGTTTTTCATACACAGTTACAATAAAACCAATGGTGAATGTATAATAATTTGGATTTTAACTTTTGTTTCTATTTGTCTAGGGCATGGTTACTGTGATGCTAACTGCTTGGGTGCCACAATTTCATCCTGCACCATGCTCCGTTGAGCAGCAGCAGAATGGTGCGTGCCAAGGCCAATCAAATTTCCAAATGGGTGTGCTAGTTTTTGGTCTGTTCTGGTTATCGATTGGTTCTGGTGGAATAAGGCCTTGCAGTGTTCCCTTTGCCGTTGACCAATTTGATTTGACCACTGCTGAAGGAAGGCATGGAAGTAGCAGCTTCTACACTCTGTACTACACCACACAGACACTGGTCATGTTGATAAACCAAACTGTATTGGTTTATATTCAAGATTCTGTTAGTTGGACCCTTGGTTTTGCACTGCCCACTGTGTACATGATTGTTTCAATCCTTTTCTTCTTTGCTGGCTCCAAAGTTTATGCCTATGTTAAGCCTAAGGGAAGCAACCTTTCTAGCATAGTTCAAGTGCTAGTTGCAGCACAACACAAGCGCCATTTTCGTATGTCTGCTGCCAGGGACACACAAGCAGCACTTTACGATCCACCACTCGAAAATGATTCAGAAGGAAAGCTGCTTCTTACAAATGATTTTGGGTAAATGATATATCTCAAGTTAAATGTTAATCTAGTCCCTGAAATTATAATCTGCTTCTTAAGATTACAAAAAGGTAAATTCCTTTGTGGGGTCGCATAATTTCTTGTGTTACTGATTGGTTTTTGTTTATTAGATGTTTAAACAAAGCTGCTATAGTGGTGGAGAACGACTTGGACAATGATGGATTGAACAAAAAGCCTTGGAGACTAAGTAGCATCCATCAAGTGGAAGAGCTGAAATGCTTGCTGAAAATCATGCCGATATTCGTGACCAGCATCATAGTCAACATTCCCTTAGGACAACAAGCAATATTTGGAGTATCACAAGCCATGAAAATGGATAGGCACTTGGGACATAACTTCGAGATTCATCCTGGCTCAATAAATGTGATAATGCTGCTGTCAATAGGCTTATTGCTCCCATTCTACGATCGAATTGTTGTTCCTGCACTGGAGAAAGTAACGAAGCAAGAAGGGGGACTGACAGCCCTTCAAAGGATTGGATTTGGACATGCTTTTGGTTTTCTATCAATGGTGGTTTCAGGGTTGGTGGAGATCAAGAGAAGGGAATTGGCCATTTCATCTGGGGCATCGGATGGGGTTGCACCCATATCAGTGCTGTGGCTGGCTCCTCAGTTCATTCTTTTAGCATGTTGTCATGTTTTTGCAACAGTTGGTCACACCGAGTTTTTCAACAATGAGTCCCCTGAGGGCTTGAGAAGTATTGCAAATTCATTGCTATGCCTCAATGTGTCAGCTGCTAGCAACTTGAGCAGCTTCATAGTAAACATTGTGCATTCTTTCACTGGGAAGCAAGGCCAACCAGATTGGCTTGATGGAGACATTAATAAGGGCAGATTAGAGAACTTCTATTTCGTGGTTGCCGCATTTGGATTGTTAAACATGTTATGTTTCGTAGCATGTTCACGTAGCTATCGTTATAAGGTCCTTGTGAAGAATAACTGATGGAGAANAGCTTCTACACTCTGTACTACACCACACAGACACTGGTCATGTTGATAAACCAAACTGTATTGGTTTATATTCAAGATTCTGTTAGTTGGACCCTTGGTTTTGCACTGCCCACTGTGTACATGATTGTTTCAATCCTTTTCTTCTTTGCTGGCTCCAAAGTTTATGCCTATGTTAAGCCTAAGGGAAGCAACCTTTCTAGCATAGTTCAAGTGCTAGTTGCAGCACAACACAAGCGCCATTTTCGTATGTCTGCTGCCAGGGACACACAAGCAGCACTTTACGATCCACCACTCGAAAATGATTCAGAAGGAAAGCTGCTTCTTACAAATGATTTTGGGTAAATGATATATCTCAAGTTAAATGTTAATCTAGTCCCTGAAATTATAATCTGCTTCTTAAGATTACAAAAAGGTAAATTCCTTTGTGGGGTCGCATAATTTCTTGTGTTACTGATTGGTTTTTGTTTATTAGATGTTTAAACAAAGCTGCTATAGTGGTGGAGAACGACTTGGACAATGATGGATTGAACAAAAAGCCTTGGAGACTAAGTAGCATCCATCAAGTGGAAGAGCTGAAATGCTTGCTGAAAATCATGCCGATATTCGTGACCAGCATCATAGTCAACATTCCCTTAGGACAACAAGCAATATTTGGAGTATCACAAGCCATGAAAATGGATAGGCACTTGGGACATAACTTCGAGATTCATCCTGGCTCAATAAATGTGATAATGCTGCTGTCAATAGGCTTATTGCTCCCATTCTACGATCGAATTGTTGTTCCTGCACTGGAGAAAGTAACGAAGCAAGAAGGGGGACTGACAGCCCTTCAAAGGATTGGATTTGGACATGCTTTTGGTTTTCTATCAATGGTGGTTTCAGGGTTGGTGGAGATCAAGAGAAGGGAATTGGCCATTTCATCTGGGGCATCGGATGGGGTTGCACCCATATCAGTGCTGTGGCTGGCTCCTCAGTTCATTCTTTTAGCATGTTGTCATGTTTTTGCAACAGTTGGTCACACCGAGTTTTTCAACAATGAGTCCCCTGAGGGCTTGAGAAGTATTGCAAATTCATTGCTATGCCTCAATGTGTCAGCTGCTAGCAACTTGGGCAGCTTCATAGTAAACATTGTGCATTCTTTCACTGGGAAGCAAGGCCAACCAGATTGGCTTGATGGAGACATTAATAAGGGCAGATTAGAGAACTTCTATTTCGTGGTTGCCGCATTTGGATTGTTAAACATGTTATGTTTCGTAGCATGTTCACGTAGCTATCGTTATAAGGTCCTTGTGAAGAATAACTGATGGAGAAAACTTTATTCTTTCGATGTTGTTCGTGTTGTTCTTTCATTATAAATTGAAATTTCATTTAAGCAAATATAGTAAAACTCCAATTCTATCAATACCAACGATTGTACATATTGGATTTATGATAGAATGAAGTTTATATTATTGGCAGACAAATCATGTTCCACCATGGTATCTGTCTCTAGTAAGTTAGGTTGCACATTGCAAAAACACCATATATTGGATTTGATATTCACTTTATGTAATTTGTTTTCGATCCAATAGAAACGATACAGGTTTCTTTTTTAATCGCTTTGAGAGCTGCTTTCTTACGAAATGTCATCGAATTAATAAATATTTCTATTGCGAAGCTAAATGTGTCCATTGCTAAATTCATAGCACTATATATAGTGAATTTATATATATTATAAAAGATTTTGCAACACAAAGGTTACTTGCGAAAATCATAGTAATTTGTGGGATCGTTGGAAAAATACTCTTGCTAAAATCTGATTTTAATTTTAGTTGGATAAAACCCGTCGAATAGGACATATAAGCGTAAATTTCGACAATGAAATTCAAAGTTTTAACGGTGCAATAAGAGTACGAACTAAAATTTATATTTCAATCTAATCTAACAAAACATTATATACTACTAACAAGTCCAAAACATATCAAATCCCATATTTCAACTATGATTTAAAAGTAAATCCTCTTATACCTTAATTACTATATTATTGGATTAGTTCAAAAGCTTAAAAAAATCTGGAGAATTCCTAACTTGTTCTCATGATGTTTGATTCAGAAACAAAACATATCCACGCATACCTATTTTGATAGAGATTTATTCATTTGGGTATGATCTCACGCCCAATAACAAAACTCTACAAATAGAATTATAAGGTTGATTTAGTAGAAAAAGTTTGAAGAGAGAAGGTAAGAAAAGTTGTGGTTCCAACATTATTTAAGAGTTTTAAGATTAATTTAAATGTTTAGAAGGAAGAGTGGGACATGTTATATGTTCAACTCTTCACAATAACAAAATTCTAAATCTCACTTTAAAAAAAACAATATTCTACAACAGAGATTTGAGTACCCTTTAATAAAAGTTTTTAATTGACCAAAATCACTCACCGACATTTTATATTAGAAAAAGTTATAAAGAATATGAAATATGTAATTTTCTAATTTAGAACGTCATGTGTAAGTAAAACAATGTTTGTTATTTAGAAAAAATACTATAGTGAAAATTTGAAACTTTATTTCATTATCGTGAAATAAACAAAAACATGAGAGAATATTAATTAATGTAATTACAACTTCAAATAACATACAAAAACATAAATCATTTAATTGTCTAAGAATGTTTTGAAAATCCTAACAATAATTTTTCACTCTTCTCTCTCTCTACACAACATCAACAATCTTCTTTATAATATCATCTGCTCCCGTATAAATACGATCATTATAGGTGAATATTACCAATATAAATGTGAACTATCAGAATAAACATCAAAACAACATATAATAATATGATTATCAATTACAGTCTAAGCTCATAACACTCTTACTCAAATCAAATCCACCACACAATCAAACATTGTCAATCCATACTTCAATTCAAACAGACCATGTTATCATCAAACCTACCTTGTTACTCTATATTTAAGCCACTCATGCCTGTTTACCAAAACATGACTCACTTACCAAAACATCACTTCCAAATCCTTTTTACCAAATAGGGCTACTGTACCAAGATAGGACTCTCTTGTTTACCAAAACAGGGTCCACTTACTAAAGCAGTTATGTTTTGATCCTATTTACCAAAACAAGGCCTACTTACCAAAGTAGAACTCTCTTGTTTATCACCATAACATCATATAAAAATACTACAACTTCCTATAAAACACCACGACAACATATAACAATACCACAACTTCATATACAATGCCATAATATCATATAAATATATTATGATTTCTTACAAAACACAACAACAACATATAAAAATACTACAACTTCATATACAACACTACGACATCAGATAAAATATTACGGTTTCCTATAAAAGTCCACGAAAACATTTAAAATACCACAACTTCATATACAATACCACCACAACATATAAAAATATTATGACTTCCTATATAACACCACGACAATGAACTCATATACAACACTCAACATCATATAAAATTATTATGGTTCTTATAAAGCACCACGACAACATATAAAATACCACTATTTCCATATATCTAATATCAGATATAAATATATACGACTTCCTATAAAACCACACACAATATATAAAAAATATAGAAATCCATAACATAACCCCATGATCATATAAAATATTACAACACATTCTTAAAAATACCATGGATATACATAATGGACATTGGATAAAACAAATGTAGTCCCCTCACGTTTCATGCATCATACATAACAAATATACATGCCACTCATGCATAATTACGTAAAACATAGATATTGAAGACTAGCTCCACTACCTGCATCATATATTTATACATAATCATAGTGCACAATTGGTCACTGAGAATTATGCGTTGTTAAGCGAACGATTGTGTGTGTTGAGCGGTGGGTTAGCTGAGCGAACAAACTTGGTGCACTGAAGCGAGAGGTGAGGTGAGCAGAACCCATTGTTTATGTTTTCACACGAGTTTGGTGCACGGAGTGACCATGTCAGAAACCTGTTTTGAATATTTCTTATTTTATGCTAACTTTGAGTAGTTTTGATTTTGAGGAGGTGTATAAATATTTAGTATTCTATGATTGGTTTAATTGTTGAAGTTATGCATGTATTTGATGCTAGATAAAGAGAGATAGTTTGGTATTCATTGTGAAAGTAAAGTGACATATGGGCATGGTTTCAAATGGTTTTGAGGGTGGTAATTTGGGTTCCACGGGAAAATCTCCTTCGGTATGATTCCCGGTTGGACCATGGGTTCCACACAGGGAATCCTTCGGTTGGTTAAGTATTTTAGAAGGTATACAGGAGAGTCTCAACATCGAGGGGTTATCCTAACACTCAAGACTTTCATTTCAAATAGAGAGGATTAATACATGTGGTGAGAGTTACTAGGAAGCAATAGAGAGGATAAACATGTGGTGTGAGAGGACTAGGAAGTCCTAGTTAGGCGACTACTTGGTAGGCCTATCTACACAAGTAACGGACTAACCTGTGTGTGTGGTAGGGTGAAACCCATGTAGCATGGCTTTGCAAAGAGTAATGCCACCACAAATGCACAATCCCGTCATAGCTTGGTATTCATTAAAGTCCAGACAGTCAGGTTTAGGTCTTGCATGTTAAGATGTTGGATGGGATTAAATTAATCTGATTCTTATATGAAATGTTTAAAACTTGAATGTAGTTGTTTGTGCATCTAGCTTACCCTTGGTTTTTGTTGTCTGTCTTGTTGTTGTCTTCTCTTTGGATGATCACCTAATGGTGTGAGACTTAGGGATTCACTTCTTAGTGTGTTCTAGCTAGAGGTGAGGGGAAGCAGATGAGTTGTTAGAAGATCTACGTTAGATCTTATGTTGAATGAAGAGGTTGTTTACCTAGTGGTTCTGTAGCATCTACATTAGAGTTTGCTTTGGCTATTTGATACTATTAAATGTGGATGTTACAGGGTGAATTGTTTATAAAAAAAAATGTATTTTCAAAACCTTTGGAAATCTTTAACCGTTTTCTTGAAAACAAGCAAATAAAATTGTAAAGCAATAAAAGAGTAAAGGGATAGGAAAAGACAAACACCAAGCAATTTTTATACTGGCGCACTATGCCTACATCTAGTCTCCTTTAATCAATTTGAGTATGAAAGCCAGCTTCACTATAAAGATTAAGTTATACAACAAGATATACAGAGACCGCTCTCTTAATGTTAATTCACTACCACTTAAATCTAAGATAGAAAGAACACAAAACAGAAAGAACAACCTTCTTCGTATAGAAACCTCTCGAGGACACCTTCAAAGAAAGAAAACCAGAACCTCACGTTCTCTCCTGGCCACCGGCAAACAGGAAACCACATCCAACAATCGACTACCAAATCACACACTAATATGATTAGAACACTTAGAGTGCGGATGATGATCAGGAAACGAAAGCACACAACAATTCCTGTCAAGAATCTTTGAATCTTCAAAACTACGCTTCTTAGTTCTTGGAGAATAAGCACCCCTACAAAATCTCTTCTCAAAACTCACTTGATCAGATATAAAGATGAAAGATCAAACGTTATCTATGAACAGAGGTATGCGTTAATAATAGTTCTCCAAGTCGAACGGCATTAATCGATTACCATATTAATGTAATCGGTTAACCAATTAACACTGCGATATACCCAGTATTACATTAAAGTATATTTAACAAAGTTACGCAGGTAATGATCGATTGCAAAATTAGTTAATTCAAAAAGAATTCAAAGATATGCGTATGTTAGTTAGGACTTACATGAAAACAAATTTCAGTGTGCACGGATTACCTGATTAAGAAAACGTGTTATCGGTTAAGTTAGGACCTTCAAGCAAATTGAAAAACTTTTTTCGATCGGAAAACACTTCACTGCACTCAACAATCAGGTTTTGGTAAGCCAAAGACAACAAGTTTTAACGATTATTACTATAATGTAATCGGTTAAAACTTGCAGTTTGTCCTCAGTTAACACATTTGTTGATATCTAAGAATCTAATTGATTCCATCAAACATTCATATCGCATACACTCCATACAATATGCCTTATGCAAAGAGTTCATAACATTAATTGACAAAACTCAATGGTATATTTTAAAAGGGTATAAGTTTTTTTTCTTAATTTGTTTTTTTAATATTTCAAATTATAAATAAATTATATTGCATTTTTATTTATTTTTTTTAATGAGTTTTATATGAATTAATACTCATGTATAACCACAATAAGTATGACAACCAAACCCATTCAAGTACAACCCCACAATGTAAATGCAGCTTTGCATATTAAAACGTTTAGTTGTTG